CCTTAGGTTATGAACAACGTACCTTAAAATACAGCTAAATTCATATGCAAAGGATATAAAATGTTATAAGAGATGTTAATAATCTTCCACCAGGTAGAGGAGAGATTACAAAACTGTTACCTGCATTGCAGTTAGTCAGTTCACCCCAAACCGCTAACCCCCAAATAAACTAATTGCCTATTGTTTATATTGCCAGTAAACTAGGGGCATTTACTGCACTGATATTCATCTGTTGAATTATTGTTTGTGTGTGTGTGTTGTTTGGGGGGTTGATGGTTTGCGTGGGGTTTTTTGATTGTTGCTTTTGCTTTGTGATGGGGAGGTTGTTGTTGGTTTTGGCTTTGTGGGGGTTCCCCCCCCCCCAAAAAAAAAAAAAAAAAAAAAAAGAATAGCACAGTAGTCTAAAAAGATCTTTTGGAATATGTTTATAGTTGTTCAAAACCAACAGCTAAGCCTGAAGAACCTCCGACATTAGTAGGCAAAGGGGGAGGAAGTTACAGAGACTGCTGAGAAACTGCCGAAATATGCGAGCTTTTGTTAGAGTCTGTTTACTCAGTTGTTCTTTTTAAGTTTAAATGGCTACTTAGGCCTTTGGCCAGATTTTTACCTTGAAAGTTGTTGCTGGAGGCATCAAAGAATATTTCAGTGTTCATTTATAAAATCTCACCGGGGGAAAGGGGGTCACATAGCTTAAGTGAAATGAAGTTCGTATTAAATGAGACAAACACCGCGGGCAGCTTTTCACCAAGAATGTTCTTGGGAAGACGAGTAGGAATATCTGTTTCCTACCACGCTGCGGAGCAGGCTGCCAGTAGGGCCCCAGGGCGGCGCGCAGCGCAAGGGAGGTATCCGAGGCAGCGCAAAGTCTCCGGGACGCGGCCCGCGGGGTGGGAGCAGGAGGGGGTGTGGTGGTTGGGGGGTGTGCGGGGCGCGGGGAGCCGGTCCCGGTGGGGTCCGGGGGAGCAGGGGCCGCTCCGGGGGACCCGCGCGGCGGGGGCGACAGCGTTGCCGGCAGACGCGGCAGTGCCACCTGGCGGCGCCTCGGCGGCACTGCCCGTCCTGCCCTTCCCGCAGGTTCTACCTGCCCTGCCTGATTTGACCGTCCTGCCTGCAGCCCTACCCGTTCACCCCTGCCCATTCTGCCCTTCTGTCCTGTCCTGCCCTCTGGCCATGTCCACAGGCGCTACCTGACCTTCCTGACTGGCCAACCGGCCCTGCCCGGCCTGCTCTCCTGCCCTGCCCGCAAGTGCTGCCACTCTGCCGTGCAGCCCTGCCCGCCCTGCCCGCCCTTCCCGCCGACCCTGCCCGCCCTCCCTGTGCCAGTCGGAGGCCTCCTGGCAAGACAGCTCCGCATCCGAGCAGCACGTGTCCTGCACCTTGAGCACACAGTGCGCTCACCCTCAGCCCCGGCTCTCTCCTCCCCTCAGACCGCCATATAAACATAAGGCCAGTCTTGGAGCGTCTTCAGTCCAGATTATCTGTAAAATGTCATCCACGAGTAAAGGACACGAGCACAGTATATCCCCGAGTCCCGCTGGCCCTGTACACCATCCCTCCCTGCACTGCCCAGGCGGAGATCCCGCGGGCGCTACGCGAGGTTCGTGGGCGCGTGGTGTCTTCTGGGGCTGCCTTTGCACACAGACGGAGTTTAATTCAAACGATAAAGCCCAAACCGGTCTCAAACGGACTCGGCTGATGGTCTAGTTTAGGTCGCAGCTGCGGCAGCCAGCCGCGCTGTTCCAAAATCAGGATCCCGACGTCCCCGCGCTGCTTCAGAGCGGAGGATGGAGTCAGGGAGCGGCCAGCACCAGCCCGTGACCCGAGAGCTCAAGTTCAACACCCGCAGTGCTCATCCGCCCGTGGCCGCTGCACCGAGACCACTCGGGGAGCGCTGAGAAAACTTTATCCGACTCGAAATGGATTTTTTAAGGCTGAAGTAACTAAAGACATGAGAAGCTGTGGCACATATCTGGAGGGGAAAATAGTTTAACAGTTCTTCCTGCGTTGCTGTTAAATCTTTTCATTACTTTAACTGGCTATTTTTTAAAGTGGTAGGGGAAAATGAAAGTTCTTCTGTTCTGTTTAGCTATTAAAATTCTAGGCAAGTTAAAAGGAAACAGCGGAACGCAGTGAGCAGGGGGTAAGGTTTGGGAGAGGTACAACTTGAATGATCATGTTTGCGTTCTCCGTTTGTCCTGGGAGAGATGAATTTCTCCCGCCCCCCCCCCCCAGCAAACTCTAACAGAAGCAGATTTCTGTAGACACAATTACCATGGGCAGATCCCTGCGAGGGAGATGATCAAAATTCGGGTTGTTTTTTCTGTGAGAGACGAATACTAGGCAGATACTAAAAACCTGTGCTAAAAGTTTGAGTAGAATCCTAACTGTATTAAATCATTGTAAATGCACTTGAGGAAATGAGGTAATTTCAGGGATTTTAAAATATATATATATATATATATATATATATATATATATAAATCTCACAACCTTTTCTTCCGGGGAGACCACAAGCATTGCCTGCAGCGATGCTATATGCGCGTGTATACTGGAGATTCCTGTGCAGTGTGTCAATGGAAAACGCAAGGGGACTCGGTAGGGCGCTGGGCACCCGCGGAAGCGCTGCTGGGGGAAGACAAGGACTTGCCCTTAGGCAGAGGCCCTGCCAGCGCGGCAGGTCCCCCTGCCCTGCCCGACTTGGAGCGAAGTCTCGGTGGGGACTATCCTCCCTGAGTAAAGGAAACTCTGGGCTACTCCGGGCCGGGGCCGCGGCCTTCGCACGGCGCCACGCACGGCCCCGGAGGTGCGGGACGCCTCCCGCCACTTGTAAACTGGGCAGATCCCCTCAGAAAACCGACCTTTGCTTATGAGATCATTATTTTTATTCGTGTGCGTAATATCATGTATGCACGACATTGCTGCTTTATACAACCTTCACAAAACGGCTCATTATAAAATTGAGGCTGTTAGTCATAAACCCGCCCAATGAGTTTTCTGGTACACCGAGGGGCTCTCTCTGGAGCAGATGTCTCAGCAGGACTGAAGACCTCTGCGGGCGTCGCTGCGGCTGCACAGTGATTTGCTTTGAGGTAATCGACCTCAAAAAGCTCTGAAACCTTGTGCTTTAGGTGATCCTTTCTTTCAGCAGCCTTATTTGAAATGTCCTGACGTCAGACAAAATTTCACCGCATTTACTGCAAGAGGAAACACAACGGAACGTGGGAATACAAATGAAAATATGTCTCATTTCTCGGGACTTTTCTTTTTAGCAATGTTTTCACTAGAAAGTTGCATGCAGGGGCGTAAAAGGGTGAGAAACTTGTGCCTCGACAAAACGTCCTCCTAAATACAGAGGGTTTCATGTCCTGAGAGTAAATACTAATTCAGCTTATAACTGAGTAAAACACGTAATCACGCCCGGCTAACTTCTTAGCTGATTATGAAAGATTAATATCAATTAAGTGGTCAGAGTTAATGAACATGAACTCGCCTATGCCATCCGGTTATTGCTGTAATTACTGGCACCCTTTTGTCATTCCAAACCCTGCTTCCAGATACTGCCTACGATTATTAGACAGATTATAAAGCAGGGCTGAGGGACCGACTGCTGCTACGGGACCTGCCGCGATCCCGCGGTAGCTCAACGGTCCGGGGGACCCGCCACCACCTGCCCGGGCTGCTCAGCAAGGACACCCCCAGAGTCCCGAAATCCTGCTGGCACAGAGTTTCACCTCTGAGGAGGTTGCCTCTCTTTTCTCATGCGCCTGAGCCTCCTTAGGGACAGTAAACACGGCCCCAGCTACATGGTTTTCAGCGGCGCGAAGTCTCCCTGCCCTTCTCCTCGGAGCTGCCGCCTTTCACAGCAACTTCTTGCCCTCCGCGCCCGAGAGAAGGCTAAGTGTCCAATACAAAACTGCGGAGCGACAGGAGCCGGTCCAGAGGCGCAGGGGCTGGTGTTGTGATTGGGGTTGTGGTTAGGGCTGGGGCAAGAGTTCGGAGTCGTCTTTGGAGCTTTCTCTATTTCCAGCACTTCGCACTCCTGCAATTTTCATCCCAACACAGCGGGATAGTCGAGAGAGACGACAGAAGGATTTGCCACAGTCTTGGGAAATCACCACGAGAACAGTCGTCAGCATAAGCGAACGCTGCCTTTTAACTAGGCTGCCTTACCACGACATGAACTGACACTGCAAGGGAAAGAAAGCCACATCTAATGAGTGCCAGGTTTACCATCTTGCACCGCGCACAGACATGGTGCTTTTTCCTGGCCGTTAGCAATATCGGGGTGGGGGTGGGGGAGGCCAAACGAGGGTTCTCCCGTGGACCGAGATCTCAGTGAAATCAGGGGACCCCTTCTCGCTTATAACAAAACACTTCTACTCCATATATCGCCGGGAAGGAGGGAGGTGGGGAGGATGGAATACAAAGACTGTGTCGATTTTTTCCCCATGTTGCAGACGCAATAATGAGCTGGAGAAGATCTCGTTGTGGATCCGGTTAGACCTCTGTCCGCGGCTCTGAAGAGTCCCTGTCCGCGTCTTCAAAAGGTCCATTGGTACTTGGCTGGCCCTTTTGAAGCCGCGGGCAGGAGGAAGGGGGGGATGAAAGCAATAGGGGCCAGGGTTGCTCCGGAGGGGCATCACCGCCGCCGGCCCAACCCCCCCTCCAACGCCGGGGCCGTGGCGGGGCGGGAGCTCTCCGGTGGGGCGGGGGTGGGAATAGACGGGGGAGGGGGGAGCCGCCGTCGGTGTGGACCGGGGGGCTGCGAGGCGAAAGGGGCAGTGCGGGCAGCGGGAGGGTCACATGTTCCGACGGCAGCCTATGAGCAGCCCCCCGGGCTGAGGCAAACTAATCTGGGGCCGGCCGCCCCCACCCCCGTCCCCCCTCCCAACCTGGACTTCGTTTTTATAAACGTACCGCCAGGATCCAACCTGTTGGAGGCAAATAACCATACGCATCATGCCCGACCGGGGACAGAGTCGCCACCGCCGCCGCCCGCGATGTGCAAGGCCATGAGCAAAGCAGCGAGCTGGGAGATGGACGGACTGCGCGGCGACAGCAGCGGCGGCGGCGGCGGCGGCGGAGCCCCCGGGCAGTGCCGTAATTTTCTCTCCTCGCCCGTTTTCGGGGCGGCGCACACGGGCCGAGCGGCCGCAGCCGCCGCTGCCGCAGCCGCCGCCTCGGGGTTTGCCTACACCGGCGGAGGGGAGCGCTCAGGGGCGGCGGCGAGGCCCGACCCCCCGACCAAGGACTGCCCGAGCTCTGCCACGCCGGCTGCCGCCCCCGCGCTGGGCTATGGGTATCACTTTGGCAATGGATACTATAGCTGCAGGATGTCCCACGGGGTTGGGATCCAGCAAAATGCCCTGAAGTCTCCCCCCCATGCCTCCATTGGCGGCTTTCCCGTGGAAAAGTATATGGACGTCTCCAGCTTGACCAGCACGAGTGTCCCCGCCAATGAAGTCTCCTCCAGGGCGAAGGAAGTGTCCTTCTACCAGGGCTATACAACCCCTTACCAGCACGTTCCTGGGTACATAGACATGGTCTCAACGTTTGGCTCTGGGGAACCGAGACACGAAACATACATATCAATGGAGGGCTATCAGTCTTGGACTCTGGCTAATGGCTGGAATAGTCAGGTTTACTGTGCCAAAGATCAGACACAGAGCTCACACTTCTGGAAATCGTCCTTTCCAGGTACGAGAAGGGGAGAAATGGTCTGAGCAGAACTCCCCTGCGCCTCCTCCGCCTGCTCGTCCCCTCCCCCGCCCCCCGGGCTGCAGGGGTGGCCTACCGAGCTGGACACGCTGCACAGACACGCATAGAGCAGGGTGGGGGTGGCGGATTTTCTCTTTTTCTCCCCCCTTTCCCCTCCTTACTCCAGAGAAAATCTCACCTTCTGCTTTCTATACCCGCGGGACTGACCCCAGAACCTCCCCTCCACTAGCGCCTGGGCACTGGACGCCCGTCCCGCGGGCTCTGGGGCGGCCTCGGGTTCCTTCTGCTCATTCCCTCTGTGGCCGGGTTTTATTCGCGTTTGCAGTTTTCAGGAAGATGGCTCAAAGGGTTGCGTTCTTCTGCCTCTCTGGTTGGCGACTGATCTGGCCTCAGACCTCTTAAGAGACTGCAAGTAGTGAGGGCACAGAGGCACAAACCACATGCAAACAAACCCGGGAAACTCTCATCAAAGCGATTTCTGTATGTGTGCTGCCGGCACCGACCTGCTCTTGGCCCCAAAGCCAATGCCCCCGCCGCCCTTCATGCTCAGTTAGCGTTGCATGCCTGAAAAGTGATGACAGTCCATCAAGGTTTTGGTGGTGCCTTACTAACGTGCAAATAATGTGGTAGCGTAAATAATAATAAACTGTAAACAACTCGGCATTATTTATTTGCCCATGAAAACCAGTACCCGACAAGTATTGGTTAAGCTTTAAACGCCTGTAATAAAATTCTAATTTTTCACATAATGTCTTTTACAATAGGGGACGTTGCACTAAACCAGCCCGATATGTGTGTCTACCGGCGTGGGAGAAAGAAGCGAGTGCCGTATACAAAACTGCAGCTTAAAGAACTCGAGAATGAATATGCCATTAACAAGTTCATTAACAAGGACAAGAGGCGAAGGATATCCGCAGCCACAAACCTGTCTGAGAGACAAGTTACCATTTGGTTTCAGAACAGGAGGGTGAAGGATAAGAAAATAGTCTCCAAACTGAAAGACAATGTATCTTGATACATTAGATGCGGACAGTGATGGATATATAAACTAAATTTACGACCAGCTAAAGACTCTTGGAAAGACTTGAAAATATATTTAATTTTTTTTTTTATTTTTTTTTTTTGTCATTCCAGCGGTGGCGAAATTTCGGGAATTGTTTTCCGTGAAAGTCAGTGTTTTTCTCTAAGTGTAAGGGAGTGTTGACAAGCCTTGAGTTGAATTATAGTTCAGTTTCTTCTTTTTGAAAATAATAATAATAATAATATTAATTATATTTTCTGTTCTCCCCTCTAGGCCAGTATAAACGAACTTAAATATGTTGAACGGTTACAGTTATAACTTTCTTTAATGCTTAACTCTTTCGGGGGTTTTCTGTATTTTTTTTTTTTCTCTGAGCAACAGACAGTGCCAAAAAGTGTCAGTTTTGATTTAGTATCGTAAACTTCAAACTATGCCGAATGAAAAAAAAAAAAAATGGAAAATGCAAGAAAGCCGGCATACGGACTTGTGGCAGCACCCGCCTTCTGCCAAAACCCGCCAAGTCCACTGGGACTGGAGAGAATTACTTGGAGGGTTACTGGCTGCAGCAGAATTTTTAATTGTTTTTCGAGAGAGAGAGAGAGTCTCTCCGAGCTGTTGCGGGACAGAGTCCCAGGCATGTCCCACCGCGCTTCCCGTTTCCGCAGGTTTGGCTTTGAGGTTGGGTTTGGGGTTTCTTTTTGCCGCAGTTTCGTTTTCTGTGAAAGGATTCCACGCTGCTCGGTTGGAAAAGGAGCCGTTTGTTCCCAGGAAGGGGTACTTTGGTCCCGGGTGGGCGCTGTCGGCCGGGGGGCTGCTCGGCTGGGCACTCCGCGGAGACGCAGGTCGGGGCACCTGGGGGCAGCGCTTTCGGCGTGATGAGTTGGCCGGCTCACCCTGCAGCCAGAGGAGAGGCTACCCCTACAGAGGTGTGTATGGACCTGCGCAGACCTAGGGTAAAATGTCCGCTCTATCCTGTTTGTCCGGACCAGCGCAAGACTCTTCCCCTTCCTCCCGCCAAAAAAAAAAAAAAAAAAAAAAAAAAAAAAAAAAAAAAAAAAAAAAAAAAAAAAAAAAAAAAAAAAAAAAAAAAAAAAAAAAAAAAAAAAAAAAAAAAAAAAAAAAAAAAAAACACCCTGGTTGGATAAGGGAAGTTCATTGCTAATTTTTAATTTACGAAAAAACCCACAGGTGTTAATGACAGAAACAATAAATAAGGAAATTCAAAAATGCCACAGTTTATATGGGCCGAAAGGCTAGAATTTTGTCGATTTTGTAATTCTTTTAAATCTAGTGTACATGTTATGATATACACAGGGTGATCAGACGCGCTAGTCAACTACTAGGAGAGAGAAGTGATATCCTCTCTGTTAATGTGCCTCGTCTAATTATTAAAATGTGTGTTCCAAACTAGTATTATTTATTATAATATACTATTGCTCTAAACACTTTGATTACCATTGTATGTGGTAAGACATGTGATAAGTCTATTTCTCCATAAACCATATCTTTTTTTTTTTTATTATTATTATTTGTCTTAAAATCTGCTTTTGTGTTGGAAATACAGTCTGGACTTCCCAACAGTTACCGATGTTGCAAATATTTTCCTGAACCGCCATTAATAAAAAGGTTTCTTTTCGATATATATAAAAAGAGAGAAAGAAATTCGCCTTCTTTTCAGGAAGGGGTTTCACGGGCTCCAGGCTTGCCTGGGATCTTCTCAGGGGCACTTATAGGACGCCGTTCCTGGGAGATGAGAGGTAGATAGGACAAGAGGCGCATTAAAGCATGGAAACGGGTTTCCGAGAGTGCCTTCGATGGGAAAGAGTTTTTGGGAATAAAGAAATGTTGCCGAAGAGAAATGTTACTATGGGAGACATGGGAAAGTCTGTCTCTCCCCTCTTCCTCCCAGCCCTGCTCCGTCTGCCCGTTGCCCGGCGGCAGAGCGCGGCCCACCGCCCCTTTGTTCTCCCCTTCCAAATGGACCGGCACTTGCCGATTCCCCGGCCGTGGGGCGGTCTGGTACGGCCCCCCTCCGTTCGCTCCGCAACCGGCTGGTTCCATCGGGGAATTATCTTCTGCCTCCTCCGCCCTCTTCCTCCCCCTTTCTACTCCGCTTTAACGTTCATGGTAATTGAGGAGTTTATTTTCCCCGAACAGATGAAAAAAGTCCATTTCTGAGCACTTCGGATTTTATTACGAAGTGCATTTTTGTTTGATTCTGGGATAAAAGGATATTTGTGATACTCATCATTTACGTACCTGGAACAGCCCTCTCTGCTGATGCAGCCTTGTTTTCTCCGAATGTTTTAAATTCTTGTCTTCTCCCCTTGGCACCCCCACTCACCCACACGCACTCCTATTAATTCTACAGAGGTTTTTCCTCCCACCGAGTCCCCCTGGAGATGGAAGGCCGGGCACTACCAGAGCTGTTTTGTTTCCAGGCCCCGGAGCCATCGCGGGCTGTTCTCTTCCTCCTTCCAGGCTTAACCTTTGGCTTTGCCGGGCTCCGTGCTCTCAGAGTGTGCTTTGCCACGGCCAAAGCCGCCTTCTCAGGGCAGGAGGAAACCTGAACTGTCTGGCAAATAGGTACCAGATGGAAAGGAGTCGACTTTTAATTTCATAAGAAGATGCAGAATCATTAAGAAGGCAGCAGCTACAGGGAGGAGGACGGTGGGGCCGGGACACATCAGCCCGTTTACCTACCGGTGTAGATTGAAAGGCTTTTCTAAGCCTGGAGCTGGGGCATTAGTGAGCGTTATTCAAAAGCTCCGTGGCTACAGCTTGGACTCTTCCAGGACGCCAGCTGTATGCGGCCCCGGGGCTGGGCTGCCACGGCGCAGCCCCAGCTGTAGCCGGTCACAGCCATCCATGTTTAGAGAAAAGGGCATGATGATTCGCCTTAAATGTAGCGCACGTTACTACAGATAATTAATATGTACCTCGACAAAACGAATTGCAAATGCTCAGTGGCGCAGTGATGCATTGCTTAGCTCCTGTAAGGCAGCGCTATTTCCCAGCCATGTCTGAGGCAATCCTGCCATCTCCTGGACAGCTCCCGGCATAGACACGAGAAACCTTCCCCTCACTTCGGGAGCCGTGCTTCCGAGTGAAAAATGAGGGAGGGAGGCTGTTCGGACACACGCAGCGCAACCTTCGTCTGTAAACTGGAAGGATATGCCAGTGAAATTATAGCGTGTGGTCAGCTCTGATGTCCAGGCCGATCCGGATGCCTATTTAAAAAACAGGGAAGAAAAAAAAAAAAAAAAAAAAAGGCGGAAAGGAGCGTGTGAAAGCAGCCCTCCGGGTCGCTCTACCCCTCAGTGGTGATATTTCCTGTACACAGGCGGGGGGACACCCGCGGCAGTAACACGCCACCCCCCTAAAACAGCAGCCGGCTGTGGCTGGAAAAAGCAGCACAAATCCGTCCTAGGCTCTCCCTCCGCTCCGCTCCGTGGCCAGTCGCCTCGGGAACAAGATGTTTCTGTTGTAAATACTTTTCCCTGTAGATTGAAACATAAACATCACTTTCTGCAGCTGTGACTGTCTCCAGCTACTCTAGGTTTTGATTTCTTTTAATTAATTAACAATTACAGATGAGTTGACTATTAATTGAAAGCTCTGTTTTCTCTGACCCCATAAAATTAGTTTGAAGTGTCACCTTTCTTTCCGGTAACTGGAACTCACATCCCTTCCTTGTGTTTATTGCGGACAAAAATATAGTCTTTGAACTGAAAATGTTCCTTCTCTCTCCCGAGAACCAAAAATCAGTCAGCTTTTTCGTAAAAGGTGACTATGAAAAAAAAAAAACTATTCCCCATTCTCTTAGGGAATGAAAAGTCAGAATACAAGTAAGCTAATAAGCAGGAGATTCAATTGGTAGACATAACTCAAACAATAAAAATTAAAAGCAGTGGTCAGCAATATCCTCCAGCGGCGCTTGTGTGGTCCTGTGTGGTCTAGGCGAGGGCAATCATTTAAAGATTTCTTCCAGGGCAATGAAATTACTGCAGAATTTACCCCAATTTCCCATTAAACAGAAAGATGAATTTGATTAGGAGAATGTCAAGAAGGGCAACGTCTCTGATCTCGGCTTAGAAATAAAACCAAGATTAAAACTATGATTAACAGGACAATAACAGGGAAAATTAACCCTACAAATTTTTAACCGCGGTAATGAAAGCAGCGAAGTCCAGGCATTAAGGCTTCGCTTGACGCAGGGTTCGCACAGACCAGTGGAGATTCTCTTGGGAAAGAGGCCGAGAACAGAAATACCCGGTCCGGATGACAGATGTGCCTCCAAAGTGTCCCGTGGGTCAGTGGGGTGGCTGTGCAGGGAGCAGCCGGGAGCACGGAGCCCGTGGGTACCCCTCCTCGAGCCCTCCAGTTCCTCTCGAGTGTTTTTAGGTGCAGCACCTGGGACTTCGCCTTTCCTCCTTGGGAAGTCCACTGTCTCGCGAATTGCATGGTTTGGGAAAGGACACAAGTAATCTCCTCTGAGGATGCTTTCAGATATGATTTTACTTGCTCTGGTGCTACGGGGAAAATGGGACAGAAAGTGGAATGTCCGGGTTCTTGTTTGGTCTATCAGAAATTTAAAACTACTTATAACTTCCCAAAATAACACAGTAATAATACTGTAAGGGATAATTTTATTTTCAGGGGAGAAAAATTCCTCACACACAACCTGAGAGATGACAGGGGGGGACCCAGCTGAGGTACCGCTGCACTCACACCCCTTCTGCTGCAGAGCCCAGTATTTTCTTTTTTGAAGTATTTCGATTTTATTTATTTATTTATTTATTTAATATCTGCGGGTTGTTTAAGTTGTTGCTGTTGTTATTCTCTGTTTGTTGATGCTTGTTTGATTGTATTTTAAGTTTAAAACAGATTCCGAGTTTTAGAAGCATTGTTCGCCTAGAAAGGCTTTGGAATGTAGATGAAAGGTAAAAGGTGTAAAAAGGGCAGGCGTGCGGACCTAAGAGAATACTAGGCATTAGTGTGCTAGAATGACAATGCTGGTAATATCCGATCGATTAAGATTTTAATTGCTAGCATATGCTATGCATTGAATGTAATTAGGGTCAGAAATACATACGTGTGCCCTGAACATTCACGTCTCATAGCCACCACAGATTATTCCCAGTCCTCGATGCACAGTCTTACCGTGGGTATCGTTCTGGCCCAGAGGATGCTGCCAGCCGGCGGGCACTGCCGGCACGGGGGCTGCACCCTGTCTTCTCGGTAAATGTTTGTTTTCCTCCCATCTCTCCACTGGCGCCGCAGCTCAGCCAGCCCGCCCTGGCCACTTTTATAGAAGTGGAGACCATGTTTCCCCTCCCCCTTGCAAGCTCGGTATTTTCATATTTCAAGTGTTATCATAAGACTTTAAAAAAGTGGTGGGGGGGGATGAAAAGA